TCCAAAGTGAAATTTAAACGGCCCTGGCAGGCAAACCCCGTRGTTTAACTCCTAGGGAGAGCAGAGCTTTGCATCTGCTGTCAGAGAAGAGTTAACAGACCCACCAGGCACCTGCGCTCACCACAGAGGAGTCATGCTCTGCATTTGGACAGGACAAGAATCACGAGGTAAAAGGACTTGCCAAAATTGTTCATCCAAGACTACGAGTGGAGGAGGATTCAGTTATTAATATAAAATTAGAAAGCCTAATCTACACGCTAGTATCATTAGCAGCCAGGTCTTCGGAAATCTCTTGGTAATGACGCAGAAGAGAGACAATATTTGCTAGATGTTTCTCTAGCGTGTCAGTGAATTTTGTATACCTGGAAAAAAAATCACTGGGCAAACTCTTGAGAGCAAGACGATGGGCAGAGAAGAGCCATCAGYCCCAACACTCCTTAAGAAACAAGCCCAATTAGCTCTTATTCTTGATTTCTCTGCAGAACTGGTCAAAGAGCACGTTAAAAAATGAGCAAGACGGACATATTTCCTGTCTCTAATGAACAGCCCTCCCGATCTCCGAGCATTACTATCCTGATAGAAGCTTCCTGATGAACAGGAAAGAAAAATACAATKGCAAAATGCAATTAGACAAACAAACTGCCTGGAGAAGAGAGGGAGGGACAAACTGAACTCCTAATTCTTACAAAAACAAGGCACATTTTTCAGTTCACGGGTGGCTTTTCCAAATGTTCACACTCCTGAGCATGCACAGACTTAAGACCTGTCCCAGACACGCTCCAAAGTCCCTGGCAGAGGCCCGACCTGCCCACCCGACAGCCAACTACAGGCTGTGAATTGTGGGCTGGCCTCGCAATCTGCCCTGGGAACCACAGTGGGGACATCAAAAGCTTCAGAGTAGCCCCAAAACTGAGCCCATCCTTTCGGTGCTAAGTGTCTCACAGCAACATCAGCCAAGCGGGTCAACACGGCGCATCCCAGCTTGGCGAGATCTCCTGAAGAGCCACCTCCGTGTGCAGGGGACCAACGCTCCTGGGAGCCAAAGCTGTCTCTGCAGACGGGCAGCCCCCCAGGAGGAATCCTGCACCCAAGAGAGGAGCAGCGGCTTCGAGGGGCTCCCGTGGGGAGACGCGACTCCGCCGACCATCACGGGGCGGCACTAGAGGCCGCTGTCCCCGCGGCCAAGGGTTTAACCCGGCGCGGCCAAGAGGACGGCCCGGAAGCCTGGTGGAAATTAGGACAAGGTCAGTTTTGTGCCAGGAAGAAGGGGATCTGCGTGGGATACCACCCGCACAGCCCCAATGTGCTCCTCGTTCCCCATTAGCTCCTCGTTCACTGCTGGGGGACGCGGCGCTGCTTAGATAATTTCATCCAAAATGCAAGACAAGTTGACGCTGGCAGGAGATCATCGGAGCGGCCAAACTTTGGCTCCAATCATTCCCACAGGAAAAAGAAGAAATCATCGGGCAAAACCACTGGCTCTAGAAGCTGGCACACTCGCTACCCCAGCACGGGCGAGCGGCAGCCGCGGTCAGTTAAGCCGGGCACCTGCAGACAGGCCGGGCAGGCGCCAGCTCGACGCGCGAGACGCGGCCCTGCCGCCAGCAACGCCTCGCGCTGCTCCGTCCGCCTTAACTCGCATTAAACTCCTCCAAACCAATCTCCCCAGGGCTGCCTTATTTTCCCCCCTKTTTCTTTCTCCTCTCTTTAGGACCCTGGGACGTGATTCCCAGTAGTTTGCAAATCCTGAAGCGTTTGCTGATCAATTTAGCGAGCCAGCAAGCAGCGAGTGAAACAACAGGGAAGAACCGCGCGAGCCAGCGCGGCCCGAACCAGCTCCCGACCATCCTGCTGCTTGTTCCTCCCCGGCCCCAGCGGCGAGTTCTCTGCTTTAACCTTTTGGCTTCAGCTGGACAATTTAAGGCCGCAAGTTAGGAGATATCACTGGGATCTAATATTAGATGATAAGCTTGTTTATGTTTTTGTTGCTAAGAGAGAGATGGGGCTTTGGAAACACTGAAGCAGACCAAATGCTACCGCAACAGCTGCCGCTGGGAACTGAAATCCATACAGCGCTTTCCCGACAACTGTTTGCCATTTTCTTTCTCCCCACCTCCCTCCCCAAACGGGCCTGCTTCCAAAATAACCTTTTCCCATTTAGGTTGCCCCTCTTGTTTCTCTAAGGCCACACTTCCTAGTTGATAACTTGCAAGCTGCTACCTGTTGGGTATATCCTGTGGTTAGAACATCCCTCCCTCGTGAATACGGCTTCCTCTGCCCGCAAGCACGAGGCATCCTTGCTGTGTTTTCTTCCTCCCTTGGTAGTTTCAAAGCAACAGTTAAAGGTGGGAGGAACTTTTCTGGTGTTTCTCTTTGCATCACTGCAAAGTGATGGTTCGCTGATAAAAAATGCAGGAGACTTAAACAGATCTCCTATATTATTTATAGAAACTGATTCAGTAATAAATGCCGACACAGTAATATTAATAGATGCTCTTTTTGGCATTTACAAGGACTTTCACAGTCAAGCTCCCTGTCTAGACACTGGGCCAAGAGTCTGGTGGGTTTTGCAGAGCCCACATTTCCTGGGAAGAATCTAAAGCTTCTGCAACTTTATTCTGGGCTTGCCAAACTGGAGAGACTATTGTGCAAGGAGCTGGGGTGTGAGCTGAATGCCCAACACGCACCCTGTCCTCTTGTGCACAACCTCGCTCTGCAGCAGGAGTCTCCTTAGGGAGCTGATCTTGATTCAACTGCAAAGAAAACYAACCCAGCCGACCTGAGCAAACAGCAGGAACATGCAGCAGTACTCCTAATTTTAGACATAAGAATCCTGCTGGGCAAAGCGGATGCTCTGGAGTAGCTCTTTCGAATTATTTCCCTGCACAAAGAAATGAGGAATACGGTTCACCCAGAGAGCTTATAATATCTTCAAAGCACTACCTACAGCACCTCAAAATCTTAAAGCTTTGGGTGTTTTCAAACAGCAGGCTGGCCCTCTTTCTTACATCTGCTGCAGTTAAAGCCAAGAGGAGCCCACAGCAAGAGCGCCCTCCCTCCATCTGAGAGGCTGGGGGACTGGCTGCAAGACCACCTAGCTCTTTGCAGCTCTGCCACTTTATCCTTCTAAGCTGATAATTTCTATTTTTACTTTTCATGTCCTATTCTCACTCWCACAGTTTGGCAATTTAAGGAGAGCTTGTTTTAGTTTGGAAGAAACTAATTAAAACACTTCATTAACTGGCTGATGATTAAAACACACAAACCATCCTTGCATTGTATTTCTTACCATTTACTTTAATCAATGGCATCAAAAGAAACAGATCTTGCAGAAGTTAACTTATTTGCAAGATAAAACATGGATCATGATATTCTGGGAGGAATAGCTGATAGCCCCGAGGGCCGTGCTGCCATTAAGAGGGACCTGGATACACTGGACAACTGGGCGRTGAGAAATCTCATGAAGTTCAACAAAGGCAAGTGCAGGGTGCTGCACTTGAGGAGGAATAACCCTGGACACCAGGACAGATTAGGGGTTGACCTGCTGGAGAGCAGCCCCGCAGAGAGGGACCTGGGCGTCGTGGTGGATGACAAGATGACCATGAGGCAGCAGTGTGCCCTGGTGGCCAAGAAGGCCAACGGGATCCTGGGGTGCATTAAGAAGAGCRTCTCCAGCAGGTCGAGGGAGGTGATCGTGCCCCTCTACACAGCCCTGGGGAGGCCACATCTGGAGATTGTGTCCAGTTCAGGGCTGCCAAGGACAAGAGGGATGTGGAGCTGCTGGAGAGAGTCCAGCGCAGGGCTACCAGGATGATCAGGGGCCTGGAACATCTGCCCTATGAGCAAAGGCTGAGGGAGCTGGGCCTGTTCAGCCTGGAGAAGAGGAGGCTGAGGGGGGACCTGATCAATGTCTAGAAATACCTCAAGGGAGGCAGTGAGGAGGAGGGGGCCGGCTTCTTTTCAGTGATGGACAGCGATAGGACTAGAGGAAACGGCCACAAACTGAAGCACTGGAAGTTCCACAGGAACTTAAGGAAACACTTCTTGACAGTGAGGGTGACYGAGCCCTGGAACAGGCTGCGCAGAGAGGTTATGGAGTCTCCTTCTTTGGAGATCTTTAAAATCCGYTTGGACGCAGCYCTGTGCCCCGTGCTCTAGGTGACCCTGCGTGTGCAGGGGGTTGSACTAGGTGATCTCTGAGGTCCCTTCCAACCTTAAGCATTCTATGATTCTACSATATTCTGTACTTAAATGCASAAGGTAAACTTCCTTCAACGGCGGCACCAGCTTTCCAAGTTCTGTATTTTTCCAGTCTTAAAATAAATGTGGTAAGAAAATGTTATGACCAGCTAGATTCAGCATGAAAATGCTGCTACTGCTGGAACAGCCTTGGTTGTATACAGCAGACTAACCTCTRCACTAGTTTTCCCCTATAGTCAATGGCAAATATATGCTGCTGGAGCACAGCTCATCTCCTCCTGTATCATGCATCAGTAGYACCTCAAACACATCATGAGATGTTGTTCATGAATGAACCTAGAAAATGTTTTGGCTTCACCCTTAAACACAGAGGGAGCTAGGGGACTTGTGCAGTAAAGATGTCTTCACCTGGGCATATGTAAACTCAGTTGAGAAGAATCAGAGGGATTTTTTTTCTGCAGGTGTCTTGGTCCAACACTCATGTCAAGATGGGATTCATGTTACCAAATCTACCACAAGCGGCTACTGTGCTGTGCCTCCCTACATAGAGGCTTTCAGGATTGAGATTAGCAGTTAAGATTGAAGCAAAAGGCTGAAACACGCTGAAAAGTCAAGTAGAAAATTATGAAATGAAATTTCTCCTACAATCCAGTGATGACTCGGTCCAAAACTTTAAGCAGCAGCGAGGGCAGCAGACTGTAGCTCCGTATCGCACCTAAGAAACAGTTCTTACATACCCAGCAACATACCCAACACGTGACATCTGCCACACAGGAGCAACGGGCTCTCTTCTCACTAACCTTCTGCGCTCCCTGGCTTCCTCAGCTGAGAAGTCCTTTCCTGCAGTTGAGACAGCACCGGCATTGGCAATACCATTGGCAGAGCCGAGTACAGCACGATTTGTGATTACACCTAGGGGGGTGCTAGCAGAGATGCCCTCTGTATTTTTCTCTACAGCAGAATCAGTTTGTTGCCTGAAAGGGGCTCTGAAATAGAGAAGACATAATGGGAAGCAAAGCAAGTGAACGCGACTGCCAGCTGAGCGCAGACACCTCAAGAGAGCACCGACAGTTCATTTTTCTGGCTCTAGGTCTGGTTTTGAAAGGAACTGCACACATTAAAATGTTAAAAAAAATGTAGAAGAATAAGCAGGAAGAATTCATAATCTTGACATCCCTGGTTGTAGCAGAAAAAATGATTAGAAAATTATACTGGTGATTAAGCAGGAGGAGTGAGCTCCAAGAGCTGGTTAAGTGAATGCCCAGGAGCAGCCAGAATAAATGACTGCCTCTACTAGGGTATGAAGAGTGCAGAATTGAGCACTCTGGAGAGCAAAGGAGCTAAGGTCCCATACAGGATTTTAACTGCTTCCCAGTGTACACACCCTCCTGGAACATCACCTGGAACATCACCAACCAGCGCTGGAACATCTTACCCCAACTTCTTGCAGGGAAGTGCATTTCTAACCCACAATCCGTTCCAGCACTCTGACCTTCCAACCCAAAGGCTGCTTTGCCCTGGCCCGGGCTGAGCTGTTACCTGGTAGACTGGCGGGCTGATGCAGTAGTGTTCGCACCGAGAGATGTGGGGCAGGAAGAGACAGGTTGCCACTGGGTGCCCAATGAGGTAGATGAACCAATGGTAGTGGGTGAGGTAGCTAGAGATGTATTGCGACTGGTTGAAATGTAGGGACTGTTGAGGTCACTACTTCTACCAAAGGAAGCACTGTAAAACATCACAAAATCACGTCCTTCAGAGCACAGTTCATATTCAACAGAGTATCACCCCAGCCAGGCTCTCAGCTGGAAAGGGAGGGAATATTCTATCTTAGCGGAACGTATGCAGAGCACAGCTTTTGGATGAGCCCAGCTGAGCTGCAGCGAGAGGATAAATGGTGCGAAGGGGAGTCGATCGGTGAAGACTGGAAGGGAAAAATCCTACTGCCCTGAAAGCAGCACACACTGCAGCCCTGCGCACGGGAGAAGGGCAGGAGCAACGAGCAAGGAGCAATTGCTTCAAGCAGGGAAGGAAAGAGTGACAAAAGCAGATCTGGCTGCAGCCCCTCTTAAGGATGTCCAGTACTCCCGGTTTTAAGACCTTTTCAATGGCTTAGAGCTTTGGCCAAGATGATTGGCCCTGATTTTCTATGGGGGGCATTTGGCACAAAATCTGTGCATTTGCAAAACCGTTACCAAAACTGACCAAAAAATATTCAAGAATAAAAGCTAACCTAGAAGAAGAGCAGACTGGGACAAAGAAAGGTAGCTGTATGGAAAGCTGGAGTAAACAGACTGGAACTGGCAGTCAGGCCTGGAGCACGAGTCAAAGCAGCTTGAGGCTGAAAGAAAACTGGAAGGGGACAGGTCACCTATCAAGGACAGTCTGGAGGAGGATCCAGGCCAGTTCACTCTGGCACCCAATTTACAAACAAGTTTCATATGCCAAGAGCATCAGCCAGCCCAGGAAAAGCAACCGGTCCCTCTACAGCCAGAGCAGAGACTGATGCAGCCCGGATGGCCTCCATAGGGAGATCTTTCATATTTGGGCTCTTCTTGCAATGGCTTTTTGCCATATCCAGGTCACAAAGGAACAACTGAGCTACTGCCAGCAGGTAACATCCTCCCACCAGGCCTCAAATAAGGCTTCCTCTAGAAAACTAGCTCCGGCTCTGGAGGACTGGGCACATCCTAATGGGAATAACTGCCTCCCCTTGTTGGCTTTTCCCTCAGGAGCAGAAGGGCGAGCCTTGGAGAGGTGCTGGGAAGAGGGTGAGAACAGGGAGCTGAACGTGGCTGCTGTGGCTTTGCAGGACAAGCAGCTGTGAAGTTGCAGAAACGAGGGCAAGAAATCAGGGCCCAGCAAACTGAGAAGATGACACTAGTGGAACATGCATGAGGGGGCTGAACAAGAGAAGGAGCAGGTGAAAGGCTGAGGGCAACCGTGGGAGAGCAGGGTCAATGTGGATGTGGACGGCCCTCCAGCACCCAAGAAGGATACTAAGGCGGAGAGGTTGGTGTGTGAGGTGGCTGGAAAGGAGACAAAAGACTAAGGAAGGAAGGAAGGAAGCAAGGAAGGAATATGGAGGTTATCTAGAAAGACTTGAATGACCTGTGATGGACTGTTTTTTCAAAAGGGAAAAGTTAATGGGTGGAAAAGGGAGAGGCAGTGGTTAAAAGAGGAGACAGTAGAGCAGAAGCAGAACTGGGAAGAACACAGATAGGAGGGACTTAGGAAGGGAAAAGAGAGAACAGAGGACAAGAACATGGTGATGCTCCTCAGTGTGCCCACTGCTGCGCACACCCACCTTGTGCTGGGACATTCAGCTCACACTCCTGCTCACAAGGAGGCAGCCAGAGCACTGCCACCTGTGCAGGAATGCAGCTACACACCCCGCTGCCTTGCAYGGGAGAAATCACACTCTGAGATGGACTCTAATGCCTCTACTCAAGTGGTCACCTTTGTTGTTAACAGGACCAGAAAATTACACCAAAAAAGGTTAGTTGGATAAATCTTAACATCCATGTCCATATGAACTTCTAAAAAGGAAGATTATGAATTTATGGTAAAGAATTTGACATCAGAAATAAAAAATAAAAATAAGATTCATTTTTTAGAAAAGCACTCACACAGTTACACATTCTCTACCATAAACACCAGGGAGTGGGTGATGGGATGGAAAGCAACATTTCCAATTGCTAAAATGGAGTAATTCTGAAAGCAGCCAGCTTCTGAAACTCACTGCCATAAACCAGTAAGGCAGGCGGGATGCAAACCCCTTCACATGCTTACATGCACACTCCAAATAGGAAAAAAAATAATAAAGGAAAAGGGTTGCACAAAGCTTTTGAACACACTGCCATGGGATACTGCAGAGATCAAAATCGAATTCGCTTATGGAAGTTAGACATGGTGGCAGCTATTAAGAACAACGGTCTCATGTAACCCGGGCTCCTAACTTTTGATTGCTGGCAACAAGGAGTTTGCAAGCAGGGAAAAAAGCCACTCTTACACTATCCTAACTCTTGCTTCTTGTCTGTCAATASTGGTTGCTTTCAGAAACAGAGTCTGGGCTGCACGGACTGTTGCCCTGACATCCTGCAATGGTTTTTATGTGGAACAAAAACAGCAAGACTATGTGCCTGCAAATGCAAGGAAATGAAATAGCTAAATGCATGAAAAGGTGGTGACACTTAGGGGTCTGTGAACCCTTCCTGTGAGGCATCTCATGGCAGATGATGTCAAGGGAAGGATGCTAGACTAATGCAGTCTGTTAAACCACTTCCCATCCAAATGGCTCCGTGCGAATAAGCTGTTCCAAGGCCAATATACCCCAAATTGGAGAAGAGGCTGCCAAAAACAGGCTCCATGAAATCTCTCCCTAGCGATATGTGCACAGAGAAAGCAGGAACGACAGTTAGCATCATTAAAGAGCATCAGCACGTGCTTCAGCTAAACCTGACAAACACTTGCAATATTTCTGCAAGATGTTTTGCCCTCCTTACAGTAAAAAAAGACATTTATGATGTCGTATAATAAAACCTGTTGGTCATTGCTCACTCTTTATCTGGGGGTCATAAAGCACTTCCAGCATTTAACCACGTGTCTTTATGGAGATCAATTAAATGCTAAAGTAAAAGGGAATGCAGATGTACAGAAAAAGTGCTGTCAGTAGTATCCGAGTATGTCACATTCACCTTAATTCCTCCTCTCTCAGGATGAGATTTTAGTTTTTTTGACTTGCATTTAGAGTTTTATTAAACACACRGAAGTGACAAAACCCTTATTCTTAAAAGGCAGCCTGGTCCCTTTCTCATCTTAGAGGCCGACACTCAAGGCTGAGGAAAACAAACAGAGGTTCAATATGATTATGTTTAACTCCTCTGTGGTTTCCTGTAGCAAACTATTAGAGAATAATGGGAAGATTAAGATTTTACTGTTTGTCCATAAAATGCAAAGACTGCTGAGATCCTAAACACAGCCTACTTTTGATCCCTACCATACAAAGCTGTTCTCTGTAACAGCTCACAATCCAACACGGTCCACAAAAGGCCAAAATGCAGCCTTTCTGCCAAGAAATCTGTTAGTGCTGCTCAAAACCTTAATTACTCTCTGTACCAAGGAAATGAAGTACAACTATGTGGATCATAATACTAAATTTGGCTCTTATTTAGTTGAAATAAACCATGAAATATTGTAGAATTTCTCCAGCTAGTGATGTTCCTGACGGGACTGTCTCTCAGAACAGGCAGTATTAAGGCATGCCAGCTGCAAGAAGCAGAAGTTTTTCAGCTGCTGCTTGTCTGACTTGTCTCTCTCAAGACAGGCAGGCTACGGAGGCTGGCCTGTCATCAGGCCCCAGGATAGATGTGAAGTCACTGGAATGGATCAGCAGATCATGAATAAAATCCAGTGCTTGAAGCAGATATGTTTCACCTTTTGTGGAAACGTGTCTGCATCTGCTCAGCATATAACCAAATATGTGTCTCCTCCTGAATAACTTAAACAATTGTTTGTCTAGTGGACAGTGAGATAGTTCAGGATCTAGAATTTGGTGAATCACCATCTAAAACATTAAAAGGATTTCTGGCCTTTTCATTAAGCACAGACCAAATGGCTTTGCAGCATGACCTGTTTATACATGATGTTGTGACGGGTCTTGGTATCCCCTAATTAAAGATGAGGCGATGGTACAGTGCTTGTGCATGGGAGTGGTTGTCCTTCTTGCACTGGAGATGACAACCCAGTGACATATAATTTGCCTTATTCCAACAGCAAGCCAGAAGCAGGCCACTTGTTCATCTCATTTTCATCTCATTCAGAGGTGGCCATTAGCTGGGGCTTAAAGGAAACCTCTGCCCTCCAAACAGGGAAAAGATACTTCCAGTTAAAAGGTTACGTGCAGGATTCCCTTCCTGATTCTTGGCTAGTCTACCAGTAATCAGAAGTCATCTCTACAGTTTCAAATACATTATGAAGAAAACTGTTACTTTTTCACTCCCACAAGAATTTGCTTGCAGACATGAGTCATTAAAAATGTCATTAGTAATGCACACGAACACTACTGTTTTTTCACAATAATTTTGAAYCCATAAACATGCACTAATACAAACCAAAACTATTGAGAAGCTACAACTCATCTCTTAATAATTGTCTTCTGAACACTGGTTTCACAGTGTAATTGGTTTAGTCTTTGTATATGATCAATTTTCCTTTTATTACCTAGCTATAATACTAATATAAAGTTTAGAGAAAAGCATTCTGCATGTGAATTATATAAACAGGAGTTTTTAAATTCAGTACTATCATTTACAGGTCAACAAAACCGATGGTGTTTTAAGACTATTTAGTGTGACAAACATAGGCAAACCTTAATTTTTTTTGTTTCCTGTTCCCAACAGAGGGTCCCAAGGCTATTACACTGACGCAGAATACAGAAAGCAAAAGGATGAAGCTTGCAAGGCAGGTGAAGAGCAGATCTGATTGCTTAGGAATCCATATAAAACAGAGTTGCCCATACCTTTTCAAGTACGTAGATACATAGGTGGCTGGTGCACTAGAATTGGGGGCTTCATTTCCCTTTGATTCATCCCTCCAGGGCTGCCGGGTGTAAGAGCCACTTCGCACCAGGTTAACAGCTGATTCTCTAAAGCAGCAGAGAGCAAAAGGCTGGCTTAGGAAAACTTTCACAGTGTGGTTCTAGCTTCTCTACAGTCCCTCTCTGTATTTACARCACAAAACCTTCTCCTCTACTTAGGAGCACTATTGTTCACAGGTCTTAACATTTGTTTCTATGATTACTAGCTATACAGTTTAGAAGTGTAAGAAGATTCAGTGTTTTGCCTGAGGAGGCGCAAGACCTTTTTTAAAACTTTGAATATAAGTTTAGTTTGCCCATAACAGTATTTTAATTATATTTTAACAGTATTTTAAGCATATTAAATAACGCAATCTGACATTTTGTCTGCCACCCTGCATCACACAGCACTGTACAAATAGGCAATCATTGCAGCTGWAAGGACTTTTTGCTCTCCAAGTTATCCAAACAAGAGAAGTAAAAGTGACTCAGTTAAGGTATATCCTTTGCAAGGTTCAGAAGCAAAAAACAAGTAAATTATCTGACTATTTAAAACTGCTTGACAATTTACAGACAAATTATTAGTAGTCGTCTTTATCATAGTTACCTGAAATTAGGTATTTCTCTCCCAGTTCCTACATTGGCAAAATGACATATTCTGCTCTAGCCAAGGACGCGATGCAGAGCCAGCCCGGAGYGTACGCAACACTCGCCCATTTCACAGAATGGTTGTTCGCTTGTAATTACTTTTCATTTTTCAACTGCACTATTGATTCTGATGCCCTTTCAAACACCTGGGGGCTCCATGAAGTGGTAATCATGCTGTTTTGTAAGGAAAGGAATTGCGGGGGGGAAAAGTACTGCAGGGGATGCCTGGCCACCATCTGTTCACGCAGCCCGGTCCTCCCATTCTCTATTTTACAGAGCAAAGGACACTGATCTGCAGTCACTTGGATGTGCCACTCAGTACGAGCTACTGCCAAAACTACTCGGGCTTATCAGTCATTCAAACACAAATCGTCTCCTAAATTCCAAATCACAGTGTCTGGCTGAGATCAAGCAAGAAAACAGCAGGGAGGTTCCGGCAAAAGATCAGTGAARAACGTCAAACTGTGCTAAAATTCTCTCTCAGGGCCCTCTCCTCTGATGACTTTTTCTCAATACTTACAGCTCAAAATGACATTTCTATGTGTGCTTTTCTAACACTTCTGTAGGAGTGGTTGGAAATGAGACTAAGCCTGAGTCTTCCTCGCTCTTGCACAAACTGTGAAGTATCTATTTGGAGGGATTAGCTCCTCCACCATGTCCTGAGATATTTGAGACCTTTATGCCATTTATATTTTGGTTCTGTCCAAGGGCAACTATATGGAATTACTATAAAAATAGTCTCTGTAATCAAAGCAGTTCCATATACGAGACAGTTCACAAACTCGCATGAATCAGTATAATATGTGTGAACAAGCAGACTGAAGAGAACTACTGAGCATATTGCAGAAGTGCCAGTGCAGGTGCCAACTGAAAAAAACAGGAATTTACATATAAAGGGAAAAACAGGCACAAAACAAGTTTACTGGACAGAGAAGATATCTCTAGGATATAGAGGTAGAGAACCCAGCCTGCTGTTTGGTTTATCTAAATGTAGGCCACTTATCAGAACATTTTATAGGCCAGAGACAGATTCAAATATTGTGAGCACCTGTGTGTTTAGGACTGCTGGAAAAAGCCATGAATCACGAAGAGGAAAGAAGTTATTCCGGAGGAAGAGCCTACAGGACAGAAGCCGAGTTCAGTCAGTCTTACCTGTTTTCTTTTTCCTCTATATCGCTTGTACTACTTAGTCTTCTGGGGGCTATCGTGGCAAGATAGCTCTTGGTGTCTTTATCCTGATGAAGTAAAAGAAATATTTCAACTGCAAAGCTGTTATATTTTCAGTGCATTCAGTGAAAACAACATTTTTGTTCCAGTTTCTTCAGTTAAGATAGCATTTTCCTYTCAACCAACAACAGGTTTAAGGCATTTTTTGGAGAAGTCTAACAGCATGAGTTTTTGAAATATCCATTTGAGAAAGATTCTGAACAGCATGTTAGTAAATAAAATCGGCTTCTAACAAGGACTGTTCAAGGATGATTTATAAATGGGCAGCAGTGCTGCGACTAGTGCAAAAAGGCAATAACCAACTCAAAGRGAAAGAGTCTTAAACTTCTGAGGCAAACACAGCACAAGCGACATGCACCAAAACATGTTTGCTAGAAGCCAAACCTTTTCTTTGTTGTCTAATAACGCAGATATCCGAGGACTTGATGAAGAACGATAGATAGAGGAACTCTTATCTCTCTGGGCCTCACGTGTAGCAGCCACTTCACTCAACATGTTGTGGCTGCCAGTCTTCCGTAGACCCAGGCGCCAAGAGGAAGGTGACTCATCCTTCTGCTCTTCTGACCTGTTGAGCCAGCTGAACTGTAGAGGAACAGAGGGATATTTGGAAGAAATAAGGGTACTGCAAAGCGCAATTTAAGTTCTGAAAGAGTATTCACAAGCCCCAGCTTTTGCTGGGCTACACTTGAAAGCACAACACTGATTTCACTTTGAGTCAACTCGATCTCCTGCTTAGGTTTAATTACGTGACAGAGCTTGAGATGAGCTCACAGCRAGGGAAGCTGGAGTGTCCTCCTCCCCAAGAACATTTAATGAAAGAAATCTTGTGTCACTCTGCAGCTCCCCTCACCCACGTAATGTCCTCTTGCTGCTCTGCAGTGAGAATGGAAAGAACAATGAAGCTTTTCTTAGCACTGGTTTAGAAAGGAGGAATTATTCAATAAAGGCAAAAAGAAAGAATAAAGAAGTAATCAATTCTTTTAGGACTAGCAGTAAACAAAACCTTTGCATTGACTGTCAGACTGGACAGAGTCCAGCAGAGGCCACCAGGACAGTCAGGAAGCCAGGGCACAAAACATGAGAGGGGAGAGAGAGAAGAAACCGGGCTTGTTTAGCACGGAGAAAACCAAGCTGAGGGACTCARCTGTCCTCTTCAGCAATCAGGAGCATTGGGGTTACGGGGTTTACCTCTTCCAGAGGTCTAGCACCACGGCTGCTGGATGCAGTAGGTTCCTAAACATTATGGATCCTCAAAAGGTGGCTGGATAAATTCATGGATGAAAAATCCAACTGGGATATCAAATACAAAAAATGCCCCCCTCAGGCTCAGCACGTCCTGAGGTCACAAAGCAAATGGCTGGAAGGTGAGAGACAAGTCCAGATAAATTCCCTCATCTTCTCTTTTTTTTTGCTTTGCTTGCTTTGATACTTTTATGTGAAGGAATCACTCATAAGGGACTGAGTTGAAATAAGTGGCTTTGTAAATAGGCCCACTTCTGCACCCTGGCCAGTGTTACTGGTGCTAGAGCTGGTGCAAGCAGCTCTAATGAGATGAAAACAAACCTCTGCAGCAAGGAAGACGTTACTGCACTGCTCACACTTTGCAGCACCCTTGTACCTTCAATGCTTCCTTATTTAAGTACATGGGAGGTGACTTGTGTTCTGCGGAGCTGTATTTCACCTGTCCAGGAAGCACCGAGTAGCACGTTTGAAAAAGAGACATGTCTAACCAGGAAATATTTCCCCTCTCACATGTACCTAACACCTCAGTCTTTGGCAAGCAGCCTGCATTGTACAGTTATCTTTCACGTTCTGATGCAAAAAGAAACCAGAAGCATAAGATACTCATCCCTGGAAGAACACAGAGTCTCCTGGTGCCACGTAGCAGAGCGACGTGGGAGCTGGGGAATTCAAATAAGATTTCAGGAACTCCGCCTCACCTTTAAGAAGCTTTCATAGCCTAGCCATCTAGTCAGATGCAAACCTGATCCTCTCTGCTTACTGGGTTGTAACATCATGCCACTGAATCAACCAAATTTGGCAACGTCAGGACACTTGAGGAGATGATGCCAACTTCACCACTGATGCAGCAGCCAGTGAATGATGAGGAAGGATCTCCTGCTGCTAAGAGATTGGCATCATCTACCTTGGACTTAACAATGACAAAGTATTTGCAGGGAGCAGGGTGTCTTTCATGAACAGCACAAGTTATTTCAGAGGATAAAAGACTGGGAGAAGCATAAAAACCATCCGCCTTTGTGCCAGTCCTATGCTACTGTTAACACAGCATCTTCATTGTAATCACACACTTTTGTGCTTCCCCAATTCGAGTCCTACAGCTTCTCTGAAAATCAGAGTGTCTATTCCCCAGTAAAACCTACTGCTTTCAAGCACCGTTGGAGTCCCCCTGGATTCCCAGTTCACTTACCCTTCTGGCAGATGCAGTGAAGGAGTTGGACTCGGGTGGTGGTATTTGTTCCGTGATGGTAGGCCTGGTTTCATGGCTGGTGTGGTTGGCAAAGGACTCCTCCTTCCTCACTACAATTTTAAACAAGAAAAGAAATCAAACATTTCAGCATTGCATTTCCAAGGCTCTTCTTTAGAAGCACAAGGTGCACTGCCTTCAAATTCAGAGTTACTGTGACCTCAGAATGCTTTAGATCCTAAAGACAAGTTCAGGGCCACAGCTAGGTAGTCTTTTCTTTCCCAGCAATGTCTTCTTCTATTGCCTTGTTATTTCCTCTGTCACAGGACAGATACGTTTGTCAAGAAAAGCAGAAACAAACTTTTGAACTKCACCCCCACAAACAAGCAAGTTTTGCAGCAAATATCTTAAACAGGACAACAGGGTTTAATCCTTGGTGAGCCTAGTGGTGCATTTCTTTACAGGGCTCTTCTGCAGTCGCTTATGTTAGTAGAGATCAGGTCCCCCCCCAGGGATAACCCCTCCTCTACACGAAGCTGGGACTGATTCCCCACAGAAATCCTCAGCAAGAGCCAAAACAATCAACCCAAATACTACCAAGGCTCACAACTGACTCACTGCTCGTTAGACAACTACAGCAGAATTGAGGTTTCTTTATAGCTATGCAGCAAGGCTGACACAAGAACATTCACCAGGCTTTGCTGTGGCACAGAGAGAGCAAAGACTTTGCTTCAGGCAATCTGCTCAAATACAAAATTCAGAAAGTAAATTCTGTTCAAATGACAGAAGTGCACAGGGCTTTGATACACGCTGCTTACAAAACACGGTCATGTRCAACCTGCCTGAGAAACGATGTCCCTATCCCAGCAAAACGTTCAGTTATTACAGAGAAAGGCCAGTTTGGAAGGGAGCATCTGGGAGGATGGTGCTTCAGAGTATGGAGCTCAGCCTTTCTGAAACAAACCTTCTCTCCCCTATAAAATAGGATTCAAAGGACAAAAAAAAGAGCTAGCCATGAGAAACATTTAAAAATAACAGTCAGTGAGCAGAAGTGACAGGGCTGGGATTAGAGAGGCAAGTGAGCCCATCCCCTCAGAAGACTCTACATGATACTGCAGCTGCCTTCACCTCCACCTGGCTCAGTCACCCTTCCCTCTCTGCATCATCCCAGACCTGCTAAAAGTTGCCTGCATTTGATAAGTCATTTCTTGAGCCCACCATTCTGAAACCCTGCACATTTTTAGCAAGCAGATGGTCAATTTGTTTCTCTCTGCAGGCCTAACTCAACTTTCAGGACAGCATGAAAGTGGATATAGAGTTGGACAAAAAAAGGTGACACGCTGCCCATTTGCTGATTGCTGGAGACTGAAGTCTATAAAACACAGCACAATTAATGAACTGCAGGAAGGAGAGAACTATAAAGCAAATGGATCTGATCTATCTTGTGCAGTGCAGCTCTAGGGGACCCCACTTGAGCAGGGGGGTTGGACTAGATGATCTCCAGAGGTTCCCACCAACCACAACTGCCCTGTGATTTGGTGACCTGACAGTCAGCAGAGRTGATGGGCTGGACTGGATGGTGACTGGTGACCCATTCGGGAAGTTTATAYTGCAGAGGTCAGGTTTTAAGGCCAATCCTAATTACAAGGGTAAAAGCCCGAGTGCTAATGACAGGTTAGCAAACAGCTCTAACTGTGAGCAACATGACTGGAAGGAGTCAACTGCAGATGGAAGAGGGAACAGATGATCACAGGCAACTTTTTCTTCAATGTAATGTACTAAAATGTGAGTGATAACCAGGAATTCCAATCAAAAGGAAATAGGGCCGGATTATCTCAATCTCTCCATGGTGAGTTTGGTGAGACTGCAAATTTAGTTCTCTCTTTTGGTATACCAAGGCCTTCCCAAACGTGGCAGGCAATTTCAGTCTCAGATGCCATTTTTCTTGAGGGTTTTTTGAAGCATTTTGAGTTGCCCAGGCCTGCTTTACTTTGCAGCCAGCCTCCAGAGCAAGGCAGTCTTGCCCAAGCTAATGACCATAGACTTTTACACAGATCTTCCTCTTGGTTACAYACAGCCCAATGCAAATCTTTTGATTATTCTCCAGATCAGTAATATGGCATTAAAGCACTTTGCTGCTTTTGTCTGAAGATCAATTGACTGTAGAAAAGACCATGATAGTCCGAGGCCTGCAGCAATGTGACCGCTCCAGGTTCATAACCTCCTCCCTTGCCTGCAAATCCCACAAATCTAACACAATCTGGCTCTTCAAAAACATACTTCAAAATAAACTCTTCTATTATACTACCAGCTTGAAATATAACAATATTTTGCCTTTTTTTTCTTCTCTAATTCTTAAATGATTGCTAGACTATTGCAAGTGTGTACTTCATTATATATGTGACAACAGCAGCATCCACAGTCCCTTGGACAGATTCACGTTCATTTTCTTAGAAGTTGGAGGAGTTCATGGTGTAAGCTTCAATTCCAATCGAAATTTTTCCAAGGGGCCAATAATCTCTCCAGGAAAGAATAGTACAGATAATAAGGACTGAAGCCTGATCCTCCAGCTTTCTGTCTTTAAACTGATTTGGCCTCAGTACTTTGACTGCAATGTGCTTTGCTTAGTGAATTAATTCTATAAAAGCATCAGCTTTGGCTTCATATAAAATGTAATGCTGCAGTGTTTTTCTTGCTAAAGGAGCTCGTGCTGTTCCTGAAACAGTTAAACACCATGGAGCTCCATTTCTTCCAGCTCTATCCACTTCAGAGGTGTTTTGGTCAAGTCCTTGCCAGGTTTACAAGAAGCAGGACATCACTACACAGGGCGACTGTCTAGTAAAGCACTGATTTATTGAGCAAATAAATGTGGCTTCTACTTGACGACTGCTTCTGCCACTGCCTTCCTCACTACGTTTGCTTGATTTACAAGCCAAAAGACTTTTCATCACGTTAATGTAGTGTCCAAAGAGCTTTTGTAACTACCAGTTCTGCAAAGATCAGCCAGGATTCTCCACACCCCTCAAACTGTGATAAACATTGTAATTCATACAATTGAATAGAGAACAATTTTACTGATACAAGCAGCAGGACAAACTTTAAATTATACTCTGCTTGCAAGGGTTTATTTATTAGTATACTGAGATATAGGCTGAAGAAACTGATGTTAAAAGCAGTTTAATCATGAAACACGTCACAGTCTAAGATCTCTCTCTACAGAAATATTAAGCACAGATATTGGCTTGCTGCAAAATTAAGGTTCTTCTTTTAAATTATCCACGCTGCACATATATGCTGCTTAAACTAATTTGAGCAGCTTTGGAGATTATGGAAAAGAAATGGGATTGAAAAGAAAGGAACAAGATGCCAACTACAGGCTATAGCATAAAGCCTAACATCACTTCATGTACTTAACCTTTATTTTTCCACTTCGCTGTGCAATTATTATACAATCAGGAGAAAAAGAATTTCCTGTCTCAGTAACTGCACAGAGCATTTTCAGCTCCTCATTTCTGTGTTGTGATCCAAACACAGCAGATTGCTACCTTGCCACAGCCACATGCTCTTTTCTACAGTCCTGYGGTATCTGAAGTGTTCCCTCCAATTCAGCCAAGCAAAATAGAAAGAAATCAGTTTAAGAGAAACTTATTCAAWGCTCTATTAGCTTGAATCCAAGTGAGCTGGAAGTAGAGGCTAAGTTTCTATCCAAAGCTCTTTTCAGCTGATGGGGGAGTCAGCAAAAAGAAAGGAAATACATTCCTTTTAGGAAAGAACAGCACTGGTTTGGAACACTGAGGAAATCAAAAGGGAGGTGTTTCCATAAATGTCAAAGGGTGCTACAGGCACGGTTTAAAAGCAAAAGAAATGTCTTCAGTGCCTCAATGTCAGTCATCCTGAAAGTGAGAGTGTTGCAATTTTTCATATTTTAAGAGAAATATTTTTAATAAATAATTTCAGGGGAAAGTCACAGCTTTGACATTTAGATTTTTTTCATAATACACTATCAATTTCTCCATACTCAAAACACCAAAAKAAAGATTTCAGAGTGTCTTTAACAATTAGACAAAAAAGGCAGCTACTGCTCTGTTAATGATTAAATCTGAAGCAATGTTTTACCTGACTCCTTTTCAGCATCTGATTCTGAAACCTCATCTTCTTCAGCTTCCTCCTCCTCTTCTTCAGARCTGGAACTGCTAGAGTCCTTGTTCTCTTCCTCCATGTCCATGGACTTCAGTGTATCTTCCTCATAAAGAATCTTCTCTTTGCTGAAAAAACAGGAAATTCTAATGTCTGCCAAGCAAGTGAGATATTTCTGAATTGCACTTTTTTCAAGACACATACACACGATTTGCTACGTATAGAACCAGCGAAAGGACAAAACCCATCTACACACTCTAGCTCCTCATAGACCCGTTGCCCATTGTTGTGGATTCCAATGCCAGTTGCACATTTCCTAATTTTGTAGGCATTTGGTCATCCAAAAAAATGAGATGTCTCTGCTAAGGGCACTGCAAACATCACCTGGGCTGCACGGTTCTGTGCAGCTGCAATCGGGCACTTCTCAGCCCAGAGGTCAAAATGATACTCAGAAACAGCAGAGCTGGGGAACTGGCACCACCACCAAGCAACCGAGCACCCACATCCTTACTGAAGAATTTCAAAGAAACAACAAAATGGACATGAACAGCAATATGTTTGTGTAAATCATTTGAGGCAAATTTGCCGCTAGCAGATGATGCTGCTCTTTGTCAATGAAAAGGAAGGAAACCTACTTTGTGAAGAGTCTGCTTTGAGGCTTGCCGTTCATGTCCGCTTCTATGAGTTTATTCCTCGTCTCCTTCTCACTTCGCAGCTGTCAAAAAAGCCCAAGAAAATGGAAGAAGGAATCAAAATACACATTTTAACAAGTCACCTCAGCCTAATCTGAAAATTATCACAGCAGAAGGTAAAGGCAGATTTGTCGGATGAAAAATACCAGCCTATATCATAAACATAGATATAATTTAACAACTCAATTCATTGAATACCCTATCTGTATGAGCACTGGATACCCTGGACTGAAGCTCCATAAGGACACACTGAGCATGTCCTTAAAAATCTGTGCAGCTTCAGTTTAAGATCTGCTGCCTCCGTAGCTAATATTTACCTGCTCTCAGAGGACCGTGTTTAAGTCTGCCCTGTACAGGCAACGGATGGATCTCCCGTGAGGCTGAGTCATTCCTTAAATCCCTCCAGTTCTGGCACGAGCCATTGCACAAGAATATCCATGATCACCACAGCAACAACGTATTTTGCTCAAGGAGCAGTAAATGTGAATTTTATCAGCAGTGATGGATAAAACTGTAAGTGTAAGGTTATTTCAGTAGCATTTAGCACAGACACAGTTGAGGTTTAAAAAAAGGAAAGAAAAAGAAGAATTGCAATTAGAGGTTCACTTTCAAGCCTCTTTTTCTTTTTCGCTTCATTTCTACTGTAGATATTCCTCATCTTTGGATGGGAGGAGCTGACTCATGGTACAAGAAGGAAAAGCTCTCCAGTTTCTGAATGCATTGGGTCCAGTTCTGAATCCATGAACTCCAGTTCATGGGCGTTTGGGATAATTTATTAACCAAAATTATTAAGAAAGCATAGCAAAGGGAAGGGCAAGAAATAGCTTCCCAGGAAAGTCAGAAAAAAATCCAAAAGCAAAACTAATTCCCAGACAAATTCAAATGAAAAATCACACATCCAGGTGGGTTTGGGAAGCCTCCAGAGAAGGAGCCTCCCCAGCCTCTCCGGGCAGCCTGTGCCAGGGCTTGAGCACCCTCACAGTGAAGCAGTTCTTCCTCATGTGGAGATGGAACTTCCTTTTTTAACATTTTATACCCATTACCCCTTGTGCTGTCACTCGCCACCACTGAGAAGAGTTTGGCCTCATCCACTTTGCATCCAACCCTGATGTGTATGTACACATCCATCAGATCCCCTCTCAATGTTCTCTTCTACGGGCTAAACAAGCCCAGCTCACTTGGTCTTTCCACCCTAAGAATATTATTTGGCAAGGGTGGTATCACTGGTTCTGATCTACTTTTTGAATTTAGACTTAAATTAAAAAAAAAAAGTTTACTTGAGAGACATTTTGAAAGTAGTAAAAATGTGTGTGTTTTGGAACAGCCTGTTTCATCCTTGAATATTGGTTTTTTTTTTGGTTTTTTTTTTTCTTTAAATCAGAAATACAGGATAAAATGACATTTCTGTCAAAAAATATCACAATCATTGAAAAAAAATGTGACAAGTCTAGACTCTTCTCTTCTTCCTAGCTCTAATACAGCTTGCTATAATCAGTTAATAAATGGGGAAGGGCTTTATAGAGCACTGCTACACAGAGAACAAGCGGGTYGCTTGTCCCTGCTAAGCAGGGCCAAAGAGGGGCTAGCCGGTACCTAAAAAAGTTCTGGTGGTTGTTCTGCTTTTTCGTTTCTCCTGATGGTTATAGTTAGCACAGACTCCTGGGGTAATGTAATAGGAGGAAGTACAAAACACAACACAGAGTATTTATCRACACCTCATTTCGGGAGAAGCTTATTAATTTTTAAAAAGATTCTGTGAATGTTAAGACTGCTATTTAAGGCTGACAGCAGCTGTGTTGTGATCAGAGCTCAAGCGCTACCACCCACATTGTCAGTTCCTCAAAATACTTGACTTGGTTTTATCAGCAACGTTCTCATTAAGGATTTTGCTAAAACCAACATTTTAAATGATACCTCGTGATTTGCTTTTTTTGTTGGTGGTGGTTTTGTTCCTTSAAAGTAGGTTTGTTTCTTGGAAACACCCAAATGAACTGAGTAGATCAGACAAAAAAGAAAGCAATCCTAAAGCACAGTGTGGCTTCATGACTGGCTTTACTTTGATCAAAATATTCTTTGCCTTCCTTCTTTTATACCAGCTCTCTACTTATAAGCCTTTCCAATATCTCCATGGTGTCACGAGATGACAGTTTAACATGGTTTTTGAAACCACTGAATATTTCAGTCTGCAACTCCATGAAGTTTCCTCTCAAAGAAATCAAAGGTCTCACAACTCTGTGGGAGACACGGTATGGAAAACCCTCTTTCTCAACACTGACTCCATGCTTCTTAAACACCAACACAAAGGTGACGAGGGTAATTGTTCATTAAGCAAAGAGCAGTTTGTCAGCTTGCAAGCTCCTCAGCTTCAAAAGCCCCTACAGAACAGCAGCAGTTTCGACGATGAATTGTACATAAATAAACAGCTGACAAAATTCTGTATGCCAATAATCTACTGACTTTCTTGAGAGTCATGCAGTTTTCTGTGTTGCTAGGTATTAGAAATGCCAGTAAAATTAAAGCTATCCTAATGACTAATGTAAAAAACCAGTGAGGCCTCAGCTTCATACTTGTGTTGAAATTATAAGCTTTAGAGAACACCCATCCATGAAGGTTATTTGGGGAAGTGAGGAACGGGCACGCACAAACTCACCACAGTCTGTTTCTTCTGCAGCATTTCTAAGTGTTCAACCAGTCCTTCATCAGCCACRTCGAACGGTGTCTGGCCCTGACGACACATGCAGCAAGAAAACAAACGATGCAAGTCAAGGTGATGCGTGGAGACACTAGTACTGCCAAGATGGCATCAACGGGCACAAGAGCAATCTTTACCRGTGAAGAACAAACCAACATAGCCCTCGTAGCCAACGCAGGCTGGCTAACAAACTCTGTTTCAGTTAGCTCACATGAGAGAAGGGAAAGCAAAGCCACGGTGATGGTATTTTTATGACACCATCCATGATCAGACCAATCTTAGTCAGAGAAGCGCCGCTTCAACGCCACTAACGCTGTATCCATTCTATTAGCACATGAATAATGAATGAAACCTGATGCGTAGTGACTGAATTAATACAGGTCATCTGGGCCATCTGACCTGGACTTGACTACACTGGGAACATCAAATAACTCAGTGCRGGTTATTTATTTCTCTTCAGGTCTATCATGCCAACACGCTCAACACAGCAAATCCCCCATATTTTGGAGGCCCCCAAGTTCACCATGCTAAAATGGCTCCTTCTCAGACAGTTGTTTCTTTTACCTGAGTTTCCAGGASAGAGAGATGCACTCACAGCACACAGCGCCACGTCTCTCTCATCAAATCCCCTTGTCTATTTTCATTCCCTGATGCTGCTCCAAGCAAAAACAGATCTACTTTAACTCTTGGAAATTCACGGGTTCTTCAAGGAAACATCCTCATGTTTTTATAGGGAGGCCTACTTGTTAATATTCTACTTTTTTCCTGCTCGTTTCTCACAAACCCACGTCATTTTTCCCCATCATCTCTGTTTAGTAGAAAAGACAGTAAAACAGGAAGGATTTAAAGTTGTCAGTTTCTCATGGGTTTACTGGTTTTCAATAATTTATACTTTAGATTAGTGCATATGATCAGGCACTCCACAACTGATTTTTTTTTTGCTTTATTTATCAGGACTATGGTAAGGAAGGAAAACATAAACTATTATCATCTAACGCTTATTATAATCTTKGTTTTCAATATCCATCAGTGATGTTTTTAGTATTACTTAAAAGATGCCTTTTTTTTCCGTCTTTCTCTAGCAAAAACCCTTTGTTCTCTGGTGCTTTTAACCAGTCTACTTCACGTGCTATGAGAACTGCTCACCGACTAACCTTGCGCCGCTGCTGGATTCAGAGAGAGGCAACAAAATATGTGTCTTGCTATAAAAATACACTGCGTAAAAYCTGCCAAGGTGTGTGCTCACTAACCAGCTTGTTTCTGATGTCCATATCGCACAAGGCCTCTGCCAAGATGGAGCAAGCTTCCTTCACTCCCCAGTGCGCGGCAGCGTGCAGCGGGGTCCAGCCGTCGTTGTCCTGGACGTTCAAATTAAACCCAGCCTGGATCAGAAGCCTAAGGAAATAAGCAGTATTGATCTCTGCTCCTACAAGAATGGCTCTGCCCAGAAAAATTCATGCCATGAGCGGTAGAGTAGGTGGCACAGTGCAAAATMATCTAGGAGCTTCTCACCGTGATTTTCATCTAAGCAATATGCACTTGACGCGCTCACTCACAAAAGGAGGAATATCACGTAACGACAAGCGACTTCTGTCATTGGAAAAGCTGCTGCTAAGTGTCTAATTGGTAAAATTCCCTTTCAGCACGTCTGAAATTGGGAAAAGACCTTCATTCCTAAGCAGGCATCAGTGACCCAGTCGAAGTCCTGCATCGACAGCCACGAGACACCACAATCTGTCAGGCACTSGGTGAACAAACAGCATCTCTGCAGACTGCAGTCTCCGTGACAAGCAGCCAAGCACCTGGCATTGATGGGCATTTAGGCACTGGAGTCTAGTGCTGGTTCTAGCAGCAGAAAAAAGGCTGCACTGTAGGGACTGTCGGTAAGGAGACAGCATCTCTGCTTCTCGCCTGTCCTGTTACTGACTTGCACGTCAAAGYGAGGCGTAGCCGAAGGGACCCATCTGGGAGCAGCCTGGTCACACAGCGCCCTGCAAACTGGCCATGGTGTTTGCTCCCACCTGAGGCTCCAAGATGTAGAAATAAAAGTAAGCAGAAGAGAAACCACTGCTATCTGAAGCCTTCCATGTGTATTCGCACTAGTACACAAATGATCTGGTTAAAGTCCCAAGCAGAACTGCCTCCCTTCAACACGGGAAATCCAGCATGACCCCAGAAGGGCATTAAGGGTTTTGAAACCCCTGCTCCTTCACATTGATGCATTATAAAACCCAGTCCTCACATAGTAGTGTTTCTCTGTGAAAGAAAGCTTAAATCAGCTGCTGACTTTACGTTGATTTTCCAGCTGGCAAGAGGGAGGAACATCGTTGTTAAGAGACTCAAGGTCACAGACAAATTCCACATCTCACTGGAGAGCTAGCAAGCTCCTGGCTTTCAGCCCTTTGGGGCTGGAGTCACTGGAGTTATATATTTAAACTTAGAGGGTACCCATAAAGCACGCAGGACTGAAACAATATTCGTTCTCAGCAAGCTGAGAGCTCTCATTATAACTTCTGATGTGACGGGTGGCTGTCCAGGACGAGTTGGCTTGCAAACTGTGACTGCAGTTCCCATTCAGTACTGGAAATACAACTCTCCACGAGACCCACACCTTGATTTCAGGAAATCCATCATTTCTATTTGACATGAGAGGTGTTAAACTAGTGTTCTTGGGCACTCCTTCCTCAGACAGCGTATAACTCAGTTATAAACTTTAACAAATGCATGCAAATAGGGATCATGGAGGACAACAAACCTACTACAGCTGGAGAAGCAGCAGCTACGAGGCTTCAAGTCACAACACAAAAAGTTAGGACCGAAAGCATCAAGAGAGATGAGCATCTCCAGAAGCATTTTAATCCAGACAACCAAGCAGTCTTGCTAATTATGGGTAGTTCAACCCATACATAAAAAGCAGAGRAAAAAGCTTTATTGTTGGACACTTTTAATTTGGCCTGACCTGTAAAAATATTAATGTTTTACTGCCAGGAAAAAGTACGTAAAGAGATGGGCTGGGCACTGCATTTTTCCACTAGACTAAGCTGGTAATGTTTAGTGCTGGGTACTCGCAACTGTCATGGAACGTAGGCTGAAATTATACATTTATCTAATGCWGTTTAACCTGTTGATCCCAGTTGCTAGTGCTGTTACTTGATGAGYGAAAAATCAAACCTTCTAACTTATGCCTCAGGCTCTGAAAGGCCTGCCTCACTCTAAGGGCCTAGAGAAATGAAAATCCATCYTCTAGCTCTTTATCAGCGAAAGGCAAATAATTCTGTAGTGCCCTTTGGGGGAAAAACAAAGTGTAAAAATCTCAATACATCTCTCATCTATAAAGCTAGATAGGGCAACCACCCTTAACTCCATGGGAAGGAGTTCCTACCTCATGACTTCGGAATAACCCTTGGCCGCAGCAACGTGAAGAGCTGTGGCGCCYGTTCGAGGCTGCTTTATATCCTCGATTCTCCCACTGTTCAGCCACTGCCGGGCATCCTGCAGCATTTGCTGCTCCTCTTCTTTTCTTGCCAGGTCTAGGTCCACACCTAGGAAGGCCAAGTATAGGACAAGGGATTATCAAGTGGAAGTGCCCAGGTATTTATTAAACCTATGCAACGTTTTGCTTGCTATTCAGAATGAGCAATATCTTCGTAACCCTCACCAAAAGCCAACACAGCAACAGCACAGATATTTTACAGGAGTTAGGAGACCTCATGTATCACTGATAGGTAATTCAACGCTACCTTGAAATAAAATTCTGAAAGGTGATCAAACCAGCCCAATTACCAAGCAGCTAAACTGTGAACCAATACTGGGTGGAAAGATGGAATTTTAAATATATAGCGTTCCCAATTTGAATAACCAAACCATGAACAACAGCACTGCAAACTTAATTAAACAACAGTGTGAGTATAATCTAGAAGATAAATTTGGAGAGAAGACCCTGAGAAAACTCCAAGAACAACAAAACCTCAGACATATACTTACCTAAAACTCAGTGCAACGCATTTGCAATGCACTACGGCTATTTACAACATGCACAAAGAAATAGATGGTAAAAAAAAATATTCTCTTGTGGCATAAACGATCTGCTTTAGAACAAATTGGACCAAGTGAGTCCATTAGTAGAGATGTTTGAGGCTTTCTGATAACAGGAGGGACAAGTTTCCCACACTAGCCAACAAGTGTTACTAACGGGARAGCCAGGTGGTTCTGGCTGAAGGGCTGCTTCAACTGCCAACAAGAGGCAGAACTATTTTAGTCTTGTTTTAAGAAGTGGATATGATAAATTGAAGAATTTTTCTTGTTAAGGAAGTCACATAAGGATGGTATACAAACTAGAGGTAGCAGAGAATGGCTTCCATACAACGGCAGATTAAATTGCTAGGGCTCTTCCATTTGCAAGTAAATCTCTAATGCATCTCTACAAATGAAGAATGRTGTTGAAATGAAACTATTCCTAGGGATCAGTTCTCTCAGTATAAGGAGATGATTGCCCATGAAATTGTTGAGCATTAGGTTTAAAACAGCAGAAAAACAAGAAACCCCACTTATCAACTCAGTCTTAATTACAAAACCCAAGGCAGCAGGATGCTGCAAAGACAAATCCAAATGGCTTCAAAACAAAACATTAGACAAATTCAAAGAGGGGTAGCAGTGCATCTGTGATCACTGAACAGAAGGCTACACATGCTAATATTTTCCAAGGAGAACTGCGCAGCCTCACGCACAGAGATCCGCTGGGGATTCCTATACACAGAAAGCCCATGTGGCTCAGGAATTCTTTAAGACATGGTGGTTGGAAGTTGGGAAATGTTCACAAGAGGAATGGCACAAAACTTACCCTGTTCTTAGAGTTTGCCTTAAGCATCTGCTTTTAGCTGCTGTTAGAGACAGGCTACAGAGCTAGGTGGACACTTAGTGGAATTTTATAACACATTTATTCCAGCAATTATGATCCTTTGGAAGCGTGCCAGGGCAAAGCTGCTCAACGGAGACAGATGGTTGTTTTAGGGCACCCCAGCACGATATCACTAATGTGGYGAAGCCAGGAAAAAGCCAAACACAACTCTAAGAAGTGTCAGGCAAAATATCTGCAATAGTTACTGCCTTGCAAAGTCTCAACCATGTTACTACCATGTACAGCTCTTATTACCCACTTAAAAGACAGACAGGTTCATCCCAGCATGAAGAACAGCTCCCTATCTTCCCGGTCCTCCAAGGTGGTCTAACTGCTAAGACGAGGGARAAGTGATCTGATAAGAATCCTACTAGTAGAGTGCACGCTGAGCTTTCCCTATCGCAGCAAAACTCTTGGGCCAGATTTCAGCGCTCTGTACCTAGACCCAGGCAGACAGCCTACAGAATTCCTTTWCAGAAACACTGAAGGGCCTAACACACCCATTGTCAACCCCACTGCCAATTTACCTTGTTTCTTCACTTGTTCCAGCAGCAGGTCCTTCATGGCTGCTTCCTCCGCGATGTCAGAGGGGACTTCACCTTCACTGTTCACAGCAGCCACGTTGGCTCCATGACTAATCAAGTACCTACGAATGAGACCAATGTGTTAGACCTCATGAACAGGCTTCAGGGCAACCTGCACAGAAAATCAAGTGGCAGAACAAAATACTTATTTTTCTTCATATTCAATTACCGAGCGGTGCATATACCTATCAAATTTCTAGTCTAATGTTGTTCATGGTTAACCGCAAGGTCCTCCCTTCTCTGCTCAATGGCTCGTCCCAACAGTTTCTGCTTCTCTAGAGCCAGTTAAATCCTCTAGCTCTTGTACTAAGATGATATGTTATTCTTGTTTTTTTTTTTTAACAGGAAATGAATGCAGAAAAAACAAGCCTTTTTTTCCTCCTGTCGCTTTGCAACTAGATCAAAAGTTCATTGAAGAGCAAGTAATGTCTTGCTCAGCCTGTTAATCTTGTTACAAGTACAACCTTGGGCTGAAGAAGAACTGTCTGTTTAAACACGCATCTAGGAAGGCAAGGTAGAAAAAAAGATGATATAATCTCTCTACAACCAGGCACAGCATTTCACTTCCCTATATCCATACTAAACCTAGTGTAGTATGCATCCATACTAACCCGTGTTGTAAATAAAACACAAAACCACCCAACAACATAATGCTGTCATTTTAATTGGGTTCATTAACAAGCAGTTACTTTTATCTACTCCTCCATCTTTGTCAGACTGTGTGCAAGGAGCGGAAACAAAGGATATGAATTTGAAGAAAAAGAAATGATGCTGTTAACATATTGGTGACTCTGAAGGTCAGAACATTGCACTTTTCTCTTTAAAGACTCCCAACAGCAATTACATTCTGCTCCCATAGGTCTACCTGCATTAAGAAATAGAGATAGGCACTCTGTATATCTTCTAARTAATGGTAAATCCATCTCTGAATTATTTTATACTGTGCAATGCATCTGATATTTGCACTTTACACTGGAATTTGCACTTTACACTAATACACATTTCTGTGTCACACAGGTACAGAATTATTCCTTATTAGAGAAGCAAAATCCCAAGCCCCTCCTATGGAGCATTTAAAACTGAACTGGGGTTCCCCTCAACGTAACTGCTGGGGTTCCCCTCAACATAAGTGCTCCATGGCACTGGAGTTGTGCTTCATCACTCTTCTCCACCCACGTAGGTGCCTGCCTGGCAGCCACCGTGGCTCCCTTTCGCCTGGCATGTTTTTAGCTAAAGGATCTGATCCATCTACACGGCACTGTCATGGGAGCAGCAATAGGGAACAGGTTCCATTATAACCTTGACAAATCAAAGGTTCAGTCCCAGTGGAAAAGCAACTTTCTCTGTTTTGTTTGCTTCCAAGATGTTCGGTAAGTCTCAGGGCAACAGAGAGTGTGTGCCTGCTCCAAGGAGGAGGCTGCAGAACATTACGAATACCCACAACAGCCTGAAACTCACTCACTCTGCTATGTTCAGATAGCCACACGATGCCACAGCGTGGAGAGGGGTCCAGCCCTCGTTATCCTGCTGGTTCACGTTGGCTCCATTTTCCACAAGAAACTTCACCATGTCCAGGTTCTCATCGATACAGGCCTGTGGGAGAAGAAGGGACACAAAGGGAAAGGAAGGAAGGAARGAAGAGAGGGGAAAAAAAGCAACAGTGTTAAATCAAGTGAACAACTTTCATTTATAGTTTATCAGTAGCAGTCAATTCTAGRACCGAATTTCCTCCCTGTCACAAAGTTGCGAAATAACGTGAATTTATTTCAGAACTTTCAAAAATTAATTGCAGCTCAGGTGGACAACCCCTAAACTTGCTCCAGCTTTGCTTCAGATCAACTGCTCTCTTCTGCTTTCTCTCCCCCACACTTATYTCCCCAGAGCAGAGCGCAAGTTGTAGAAATGGCAAATCTGTGTTAGTCTTTGATAGGGCTCTGGTGTTGCTGGGAGAAGACCTACTTGGGTTTTCACATCACAGCAATCCCATTCAGTGGAATTCCTCTTTCCTCGAATTCCTGGCTCCAGCACATTCTGTGGATCACTTATGGTTCGCTGCAGGCTGCTGTTTAAGGATAAGCTGGCAATTTAATACRTATGTCCAACTGCAGTTGCCCCAAGCACGACTAGGAGGCAAAAGGACCAGCTTCTACTTGGGTGTTCGCCTACAGACAGAAAAGTAGCTCCTCATCCCGAAGGCTGGAATCGACTTGGCCAAAATTGCTCCCAAACGCAGCAATTGTGGCCAACGCAACACTTGATCCTTCTATACGGCTTGGTGGGAGCRTATCTGTCAGCTACAGGAGTCTGATGACATGAGATGATCCTTCTTCTAAAATGAGCAACACTGAGTATCCATTCCCACGTTGCTAGAGGCAAGTAAGGAAAACAGGGAAATTGTCCTTGTATTTAACAAAAAAAGAAAACAAAGTAAGCAAAGAGTGAGAGAGAATCCTTGAATTTCTAGCACATCCATCTACTGCATTGCTCGATTCAAGAGAGACTTTTGCTCTAAACCAGGCTTTCATGTTCGCTATTTGTGTCGTCAGTGCAAACACAAACTAGACTTTACAGCACATTCGCAAGGTATCCGTGTTACAGAATCACAGAATCAGCATGGCTGGAAAAGCCCTTCAAGAGCGATAAGGTCTCCCCTGAGCCCCCTCTTCTCCACACTAAACACTGCAGCTCCCCGGCTGCTCCCTGGAAGCTTTGGGCTCCAGCCCCTGCACCAGCTTGGCTGCCCTCCAATCAAGTGTTTGGACACACTCCAGCACCTCAATGTCCTTCTTGTAATGAGGGGCCAAAACCAAACCCAGTGTGGGAGGGGTGGCCTCCCCAATGCCGAGGAACCATCACTTCCCTAGTGCTGCCGGTCACACTGTTCCTGACACCRGGCAGGAGGCCGGTGGCCTTCCTGGTGCCTGGACTCACTGCTGGCTCCTGCTCGGCCGGCTGCCGACCAACGGCCAGATCCTTCCGTGCCGCAGAGCTGTCCAGCCGCGCTGCCCCAGGCCCAGGGCGCTGCACCGGGCGTTGTGACCCGAGYGCAGGACCCGGCCCCCGGCCTCGTTCAACCTCCCACGGCTGGCCTCAGCCCAGCGATCCAGCCTGTCCACATCCCTCCGCAGATCTGCATGTTCGCTTGGTTCGGAAATAGCTCTGCAGAAGGTCAGCTTGGCAAACTTTTCCTTCAAAGGGCGCGTGCTCTGCAGACACCCACTGCATGCTGGCAAACCCCAGCGAGCGCTGGGCACATCTGCCGTGGCAGGAAAGGAGACCCGCGGGGCAGGAGCAGATCTGAGCAGTTGCATCCACGCTGCGCTTGTGCTGGTCTGCGCAGGCTTCACCTGGATTAGTTCAGACACTAAAGCAGGAGCAAGAAATCCAGCCCAAAGCCCCTCCCTTTTAAACAAGCCTGGGGAGCTGTACGGCCTCCCACTGGGCTCAGAGCAGGACATCCAGGCCAAATATTTCTTGTGCACCCAACAGGCACGGGAGGACTAATGTGAGCCCTGTGTGCAAGTGATTCATTTTAAGCCATGCTCTGCAAGACAGGCACTCCAGATTTTCTTAAATGTGCAAATTATGCATGTGTGTGTATATATATATGCATAGGTATATTACTTATATATATAAATAACTTATTCCTTAAACAATGCTTTCAAATACTGTCATCAGGTAAAGTATGCAATGCACACAGCAAAGTAATGAATTCCACCCTAGGCCAACGAGTGATTTTTAGTGAGTTTGAGCCTACAAAATGCAGGATTAGCCTGTATTTGATATTTTACGTATATTTTATAGTGCAACATAGTTCCAGTTTTCCCCCAACAAACCTCAAATAAGTTGCATGTACTGCTTTACTGTTAATTATTTACATTTTGGACCTAGAAACACAACCATCAGGCATCATTTTTTAAATAAAAACAGTATCATCTAGAAACATACTGCTCTGTGAACACTGAGGATAAGTCTGTCCAGGCAGTGGTTTCTTTTGGGGACCTGCACATCTGGCTCATTACAAAAAATTAGAGCCTTGGAGAAAAAATTGTGATTGGTGCAGCTCTGGCTGAGGGGCCAGGCAGACATTTCTCACCTGCACATCCTCACTGCAAAACACTGTATTTGCTTTTGAGTGTTACCTGCAGCTTAAATGCAAATCTAAATTTAGACTCCAGAATGTTTTCACACTGAGAGCTTAGTATTTATCTGATAGATAATTATATCTACAGTGTTTATCATTCAAGCCTCACAAATAGCTGCCACCCACTATGTCTGCGCATACTGGCAAGAGGCCACGAGAAGAATTTCCCTCTGAAGCCACTGGATTGATAGGGCTCCAAAAAATATCTGTAGAGATACAAGAAAAGAACCTCCTTGCACATCCCTGCAAACTGGCCAGGCCTGCCCTTGGTGGTCCCCCTGCAGCACGGATCCTACGGGATGCATGGGTGAAGCGGAAGGGATGACGGGATAAATCCCCAGCTGCTCCCACAAAGCACGGGCAGTAACTCGATTCACGTGGCTGCCAAAGCCCCAAAACGATGACAGAAGTGACCGAGCTACGTGGGCGCTGGCACCTACAGCCAAAGGGACCGTAACACAAGTGTTTTCCGTTCGCGCTCCAAGCCTGCCACGGAGAAAGGCTGGATGTAAAGACGGATTAAGGCCTCAACAGAGCAGCAACACGGCCTTTAATATCTAGGGGACGTAAGCCTCACTCCACCCTTTTGCACCACAAAAGGCTGCTGTTCCTGCTGGGAACAAGCACAGTTCGGCAAATATTTGTTTTCATAGTAGTTGGTGACTTACAAGAATAGCAATGAGCACAGGGTTGAGCACCATGAACTAGTTTTATAGGGAAAGGCGGCTGAGTTGACATGAGTAGGGATGATTCCTTGCCTGCCACAAACATCACAATGCAGGAATTGCTTTTGGAGATGAATATCACACTAATACTAATTACACTGGCCAAGATTTTTAAAAGTGCCATAGTGAAGGCATTTCATACACTTGCATTCAAAAACCAGGTACTAAATAACCCCAGTCTGCTTCACAAGATCCTGCCAGTCTTTCACCAGAAACCAACAGGCATAAGATTTGCATCACTTTTTAGAAAACATACATATATATTTTTATAACATATTTAATCTAATATGGGGCAAGGAAGAAGAAGACACTGGTTGGGGCAAGAGGCAGACACAACAAGTTCAAAAGATCTTCCAAATCACAAAGTCTTTTAAAAATATGTGCAGCATTTATGAGTGATTAACCGGCCTCTTTGAGGGGTTGCACTCCATCGCTGCTCATACTTTTGATCAGCTGGGTTGCATTTCTTTCCAAATTCATTTTTGCACACGTTATTGATAATTAATATAGTTGCGTACATAAGATCATTTTACCAGGCTACGAATTACAAACCAGAAGTGTCTGGTGTTTTCGGCGGTCGCAGGGCACGCACTTGTCCACCGCAACTTTTAGGAGCCCTGGGTGCCCAGGGTGCTGCTCCAGCAGACACGGGCCCTCCAGCCCACCCAGCGCGTGCGCCCAAATGAGGCGCCGCGGGCACGCCACGGGGAAACGCCTTCCCCGACGGGCAGGAGGCAACGCTCATCTCCCCCATAAGCCAATTAGGTTTCCTGGAGGAAAGAAAGGCAAACAAAGCTGAGAGCTAGTATCATCTTTTAGGTGATGTTTTGGTCTCCCTCCCCTATTTTGAGCTTACTTCTCTCGGTTTCAGGCACTGGCAACCCRCAGCTGCTGTGGTTTCACATGCATTAACCGCTGCTAGAGGACAGCAAGGTACCCACAGAGCACAACATTCCCAGACTGCCTTTAAATGCTGATTTTTCATTCCTCCTTTACCTTCTGCCCTTAACCTGCCTGAGCTGCAAGGAGCTACCAAGAGACAAGAGAGGCGGGGAGGCCGCAGGATCCTCTTGCCCGAGCTCTGCGCTGGGCCAAGCTCTCGCACCGCTCGCGTTTCTCTTGGCAGCTGGTCGACTCCGAATGCCTCTGGAATAGCATTAACATCGACTCCAAATGCCTCTGGAATAGCATTAACATCTCACAGCTCGAGCAGCCTTTGATGCGAGCTACATCCAGCGCCCAGAATTACCCATGAAGCGCTCACAGCGAAGTTGGCTGCCGCAGTTCAAATCCCCGGCATCGCTGGGCACGTCTCCATCCCGGCTCACGGTGTTCCTGCCGCTCCTGGCAGGGCACCAGCTCCCAGCAGTTTTTCCATAGGGAGGAAGTGCTCAGTTTCTAAAATCTGCAGCCACGACATATTAGCTTCCCCCTCTTAAATAACAGGTGCAGACCTTAACTGCCCGGGACACTCGCTGCAATTCTTCATCTTCCTTTTTCTGCCAATCACCTGAGCTTCACATCACGGTAACAAGAAGGAGATGCTGAGGAACACGTTACAGAGCAGCTCTGCTAAACTCTCCTCACCTGGCAAAGCTTGTTCAGGTAGCAGCAAAACTAAAAACCTGATCTTTATCAGCAATGAGAGCTCCTCGTTATAACGGCACCGCTGAACGTTGCTCCTTCCTCCGCGTGGCCAGAAGGTACAAGAGTTTTCTAGCTGC